AGGGAAAGACTTCAGCCTGTGCGTCCTTCCTTTTCACCAAGGTGTCTCTGTTGCTCCGTAAATAAAACGTCTCACTGCCTTCTGCGAGTGCTATAAAGGCAGCGGAACCGCGGTCCCTGGGGCATTCCGGACCGGGCACGAGCCCAAGCAGGTGAGTTCGCTACCGCAGACGCAGTCTCCTGCACCCTCCCTGGCTCAACTCCGGAGATGCAGCGGCAGTTGGGGATGGGACTAGGGAGGGCGCACCGAGCGGGCGGGCAGGGGGCCTGCTTTCCGAGAAGCAGAGAACGAGAAGGAACCTGGGAAAACAGGACAGAGGACGAGACCAGCGTCCCCGTTTGAAAGTGCTGTCCTCAGGAAAGCTACGACCCGCTGCTGGAATTTGCTGCAGCGCTGCAGCCTCGGGACCGGGAGAACACGCCTCACGGGTCCCACGCCCCTCCCGAAGGCCCGCGCTTCCTTGCCAGAGCACTCCTGGAAGTGCGCGCTGGATCCGGCGTGGGGAAGGAGGGAGCGGTGTCCGCAGAACCCCTTCCCGCCTTGCACACGCGCGGGGCTCTGCCTCAATGTTTATTTGGGGAAATTTCAGGACGCGGACAGCGCCCGGGCTGTCTCCTCGGGGGACAACGGCGAGCTCGGGAAGCCCCCCAAACAGGGCTCACTTCCTTCAGAGTTGGGGAGCCCCGGGTGGCAGGTGCAGGCCACGGGACCCGAAGGTTCTCAGGTGCCCCCCTGCAGGCTGGCGGTGTGCGCCGTGGGGCGCGCATCGCGAGCGCGGAGGGCTCCAGGACGCGGTCCAGGCTCGCCGGGGTCGGTGCAAACGGTGGGGCCGGGAAGCGGCTAAGCAGTGAACGCCTCTTTCTGTTCCTTCCTCTTTGCCTCTGATTATCCTCCCTCGCTGCGTCTCCTCCCTCCTCGCTGTCCTCCAGTTCTCAGGTCATGGCAGCGACCGGCGGCGGGTCGGAGCCGCTGCAGCTCCCGGAGTACAAGGGCAGCTACGTGGTGTCGCGGCCGGTCTACAGCGAGCTCGCCTTCCAGCAGCAGCACGAGCGGCGCCTGCAGGAGCGCAAGACCCTGCGGGAGAGCCTGGCCAAGGGCTGCAGGTAGCGGCCCCGGCGGGCCCAGAGCCCGGAGCAACGCAGCGGGGCCGGGAGGGTGTGACCTTCGGCCCAGCTTGGGATGCCTTCGGGGTTAGGACGCCGGCTGCCTCTCCCAGAGGCCCAACTCTGTCCCTGGTCCTCAACGTCACCGTTCCCCTGGGCCCGAAAAGAATTTCCACCTTTGGGAAGAGTGGAATCTGGACTTGTCTTTTGTCTCTAGAAAAAACCTGGAGTGCGTAGAACTGGTCCCTAATGCGTTCTTTTGTGACTGCCAGGCTGAGGAAAGGGGGAAGAAAGGGACTCTTAAAAGAGATGACAGGTGGACCAGATGGTAGTGTGATAATTATGGCGCCCAGATCCCATAGGGCCGGCTGTGAGGTTCCGGTCCTGAACCCTGTGACTTAAAAAACACGCCAGGCGTCTGTGTGTCCGTGCTTGGAATTCCTAGCGGAGAATGAAGGAGAAGGGATTAGGAGATGGCCGTCCCCCTTGGGGGATTATTTCTCCCTCTTTCTCTCTCTTTCTCTAGCTCCCTTAGCAAAATAACAAAGCAAACAAAAAACACCCCCCCCCAAAAAAAAAGAGTAATCCCCTCACCTGACCAGGAATCCTTGCAACACCTGAAGCTAATGCAGTCAGAACATTTGGTTGGAAACCCGGAATGACAGCGAGAATAATGGAGAACCCGGAGTGCTCCAAAGGCTCCTGTGTTCCAAATACTTTCAGGAAACAATGGGACTTCTGGGAGAACCACTATCAGAGTCTCTAAACCCAAGTGTGCCATCCGTAAGATAACACAAACATAAATTTAGTGAGTAATGAACTATTGACAATTGCTAGACTATCTCTTCAGAAAGGTCTGTTAATATAGGACATTCTAATATACAGAAAAGAAGGCGTAGCAGTGTGATGAAACCCCCGTGTTTCTACTCATCACTGACTTCAACAATGACCAACTCCAAGTTAATCCTGTTCCATCTATGGCCACCCACTTGCTCCTCTTCAGTATTCCTTTGAAGCAAATTCCATATGGTGTATCTTTTTGCCCGTATCTTTATTTTAATACGTATCTTTAAAGGCTCTTTAAAAATGTAACCACATTCCATTATCACAGCTAAAAAGTAATTTTTTAAAGTTGAAAATGGAGTCTTCATTAAAATTTGTAATCATCTCTTAAACGTCATCATTTAAAAATTATTTGGATCAGAAATCAAATAATGTCCATATACAGCTGATATTTTTGTCTTACATCTATAGATTGTTGAATTAAAAAAATTAAGTAGCAGGGTATATGGTATACCTTCATCATGTTAAGATTTAAAAAAAAAAAAAAAAAACTGGCTCCAAGCATGTATTGCCAAAATACACAGAATGTTTATTTTTCTTTAAGAAAAAAAAAAGGCGCCTAGGTTAGAAGTCTAAAAATTAATCTTCATGTAGAGACTCCACACTGATCAATCTCTGACTGGATCAGAAAATGGGTTCTTGTGTAGGGATATTTTCTCAGAGGATTAAAAAGTTGGGAGAGGGGAGGGGACACTTAATCCTGTGTTTTCTAGTACAGTGCATTTAAAAGGATAGATGCAGTTCTTGGCAAAAGCATGGCAAGCACTTCAGTGGTAGTATTTTCCATGAAATTTGTCCTCTTTTCTAAATAGCTTAAATGTCGGATCAGTTCAGTTCATAACTTTGTGATTTGCAGTGACAAAATCTGGACTGGAAACTCAGTTTTCTTGCTTCTTGACAGTTGTTCAAGAAAGAGAGCCTTTGCCGTGCTGAAGACGCTCCTGCCGGTCTTGGAATGGCTCCCCAAATACCGAATCAAGGAATGGCTGCTTAGTGACATCATTTCAGGAGTTAGTACTGGGCTAGTGGGCACGCTGCAAGGTAAGATGTTAGTGAACTGGCTTTCAAGGGATTGAAGGTTATGGGCCCAGCAGTAGTTCATAACCACCACTCCCCTGACACCATCTACCATGGATCTTTACCAAATGCTTGCTCACTCACTTTTCACAGCCTTCATCTTTCCTCTAGAGCCCTTTAGTGGAGAGCTTCACTTTTCTTCTCTTCTATAAAGTTTTCCAGGGAAATCCCCTGCCTTTCTTGTTGCACAGCTGCAACTCAGAGGCATCTACTAAGTAAACCTAACTTTTATTGACCACAACTCATCGTAACAAATACGTGTTACATGTCTATTGTTTTGTGAAATAGTATTTATCCTACTACAAGTGATACACTCTGATATTTTCTTTTCTGTTTTATTCTAGTCTTGTTTGTTTGTTTACTTGCTAGAGGACACCTATGCTCATCAGCGAGGGAGAGAGAGACAGAGACAGAGAGAGACAGAGAGGGAAAATGAGAAATCATCCCCTGGGGGCAGAAGGGGAAGGGATAGGTATGACGCAATCCTGTCTCTTCCATTCTCCTGTAAGAATTTTTTGGTACACGTGCACACACGCTGGTCATGTTTTTCAAGTTGCTGGTTGGGGACTTGAACCACGTAGTCAACCATGTGAGATCCAGTTGCCTTAACCTCCACACCACCTGTTGGCCCCTATTCTGTTTCTTTTTTTAAAAATTATGGTTGAAGCCCATTAAATTATTTTATATCCATGTATGGATCTTGACCTGCACTTTGAAATTAGCTTAAGGAAAAGTGAGGAAAGTATCTTAATCTGAATCCCCCCACCCCGCACTTTTTAAAAAAAATCTGTTCTTTTATGTGAATCTCCTGGGGAAAATATCATAGCAAAGGTGGTTGTATGTGTGTGTGTGTGTGTGTATAACTATCCCTATGCCATATTATTCCCATATCTAAGGAGTCTGTGGCTTACTTGGCACTCGGGAAATAGGGACATTCTCTTCTGTTCCTCATCCTCACCAAGATATCTTGTTTCTGCCCCTCAGGGAAAACTGCCCTGCCCAATTCCCCAAAGCCTTTGAACCATGAAAGCAAAAATCTCATTTATTTATCCTAGTTTTATTGAGCACCTAACATGGGCCAGGCAGTAGGTATGAGGGCAGGAATAATATACACTAGCTGCTTTCAAAGAATTAATAGATGAGTAGAGAAACAGATGATAACAATTCAATGTGGTAAGGGCTGTGTCGATCAGGGCCTGCTTAAGGAATGCAAATGAGGTGTATGACCCGGTGTTAGGGGAGCAGGGATGGCTGCCTGGGAGGTAAGTTGTCAGAGCTATTTCCCTGAAGGTTAAGTCTGCCTTTCCCAAGTGATGGGAAGTAGGGTGGGGCAGAGATGTGCGTAGAAAGGTGGCTAGAAGACAGACTGTTTCAGGAGTTAGGAATGGCTGTTGAGCAACCCTGTGACCTAACATTGGCTGTGGAGCTCAAGATTACTCAGAACAGGCCAGGTAGATTCCCACAGAAAAAGGAGGATGTTGTATGGTTGCAGTGTGGAGTCTCAGCTTGACCAAGCATGTTCTCTGTCATAAAGAAGGTTGTGAGAAAGGGTAGACAGGGCTGTTAGACAATGCCAGATGCTCCACAAGACAGGCTTGCATGGCTGTGAGGTGGCATTACCCTGTGACTCCTTGGGTATAGGAACTATCAGGTCATTGGAAAAGTCATGATGCCTTTTTCTATGTTTTCCTATGCAGAAATGCATCGTGACTTTTCTATGTTATTCATGTTTGTTTATCAGGTGCCTAGCACAGAGAGGACCACATAGCAAATGGCTCCATAAATATTTAGTGAAGAGGACTCCATTGCATTCCTATTACTGAATCATATATTCCTATAAATGAAATATATATATATA